CAGTGGCAGTGAGGCTCAAGCCCCACCCCCCACCTGACAGGTCACCAAGCCAGCACATCTGTCACACTCTTCAAGTGCCATTTTCGGCCATGCAGAGGTTCCTATTGTTTAAAAAAATCTCATTTTGGAGGGGCCCCCTCCCAAACCCTTCCCCAAGCTTGGGGGTTCAGAACTCAAGCTCTTCTGTCAGCTTAGCCAATAAAATTCTGCTAACGGTGTGACGTCATTGTTCAAAAAGACTTATCGCTTACTGAATGCAGGGGAAGTTGCTGAAGTAATATTTAGTAGGCCCTTACTTTTATCTATATTTAATATGAACTAATCCTACTATGGTAATAACGTATTCCGTGTTGTAGTCTTACATTTAATTGTGGCAGGGACACACTGAATCAGTCATATGTCGGTAAACCCCAAATGGAGATATAGTCCTATCAATACAACACGATAAAAATTGATATCCATTTTATTGAATAAAACCAACCTTCCGGTACCAAGTTTTGTTATTTCTCCACATTTAACCTAAATTCAGCCAAAAAATGACATTTTGTGAAGTTAATTTGACATTTAAGTTGGTAGACCTATTCTTGAAGGTACGGTAAACAATTACATTAAGCTTGAAATGAAACATTAAACTGGAAAAGTAAATTTGCAGAATACTATAATTATAGAGCCTTTTTACAATGAAACTATTGTTTGATCGTGTCCTTTTAACGTCTAGGTCTGAATAATTACTAAACGAATAACATGCAGCTGTTGTTTCTCAGTGTATTAATAGGCCCCTCTGACGAAGTTGTTTTTTATAGTGCTTTTTAATATTACAGCATAATCTAACAATAACAACTGGAAGGTTCTCAATTGTTTACAATTCAATGAGCATGTTGCTTCAGTCTGAAATGATCAATATTGAATGAAGTGCAGTGAGTTGATTGTGTTCAATTTCTCATGACAGGCCTTGGGCAGATATTTCATATTTTTACCGGTACATCATTTTCATTTTATCTGTAATTAAATAAGAAGTATACAGTACAGTCAATTATTCATAAAGATTCCAACTCTGTTATTGGTCACCATATTAAATATTTTCAATAGCAGAATATTCATAAAAAAATAATTGAAATTGGGTGGCCAGGGTTGATAAGCTGAAATGCAGCATCACCCCAGTCAAAGGCCTGACAAAAACGTTAAAAGAGGGCACGCGCTGAGACCAATCAAGGCTGCTTATTTCTGGACCAATGCACAGTACTGTAAGATGTTCAAACACAACAGATGTAATAACGAGCGTAAAGACAAAATGCAAAAAAAATATTAGTTATATGAATAGCTTAAGGTATCCATTAGAATTTTGAAAATGTCTGAATTACTCAAGCCTTGTTTTTTTTCTTTCTGCTGTCATTTAAAACTTACCTTTTAAAATTGTTGAGTTAACAATTGAATTATCAGTGACACATCATTTGATTTATAACCTTTATAATCTTCAGCAAATATAAATATGAATGTACTGAATAATTTAAGAGCCAATTCTTTTGTTGTTAGTCTTTATGACTAACAGTTTTGGAAATATGGATATACTAGGTATCTAGGGTCAAAGGTCAGAACTGCTATTTCCAGTCACTTTTGGACAAAATGTTGCATTAGTACAAATAGATACATTTATGTTCTGAACAATTTAAGACCGAAGTAAGTCTACTACTTTCCATTGCAAGATAATACAAATATATAATTATTTTAAAATGTTATAGCTAACTAAGGCCTATTAGACCAGCTAACACATTCTAGAATTTACAATCAAATTTTCAAACAAATTAATACGCAACATAAAATTATAGATTTACGCATAAATTCACTAAAACTAGGAAGTCCAGAATTAGCAAACTTATCAAAAGTACTGCAAAGATTTACTCTTTTTAAGTACCATATGCAAAGCATTATAACAAATTTAAGTAGGCGGCCATTTTGAATTTAAAGAAGTGGCCATAGTAGGCCACACAATTTTAAAAAAATCTACACATCAATTTTATGTTTTGCATAGTTTCATGCTTTGCTGCTCTACTATAAGCAGTTAATTAGGGTCTTTCAATATAAGATTTTAATGCTTAGGAAAACATACCATACCCATACAACTTATCTTAGAATGAATTTTTACATTTGCGGTTGACATGTTATGACATTTGAGGTAAAAATGGAAATTTTTACATTTGTATGTAGGTGAAATGTTTTCACATTTATACACTTGTGGGCAATTTTTTTTTACATTTGTGGATAATTTTACATTTGTGATTGACATGTTATGACATTTGCGGTTATTTTCACACTTGCGGGTACACTGTTTTGACACTTGTGGTTATTTTTACATTTGTGGTAGATTTCTGCATTTGTGGGCTCTACATATGTTACGTTATGCTACGTTTTCATGAAATTATGTGTAGCATTATTGTTACATGCTACAGGATGCCAAAAAACGCATAATTATGCTATGAATGGCCACTATGCTTTATATGGCTAGTGTTATAACAACTGGGCAGGAAAGCAGGCTCACAGCGAGCGATCCTGGAACGATGTCACGCTGGTGGCGTCATTTTATTGGATAAACAAACGGAAGTTAAGATGTACAGTATTGTATCTCCAGCCACAGCATTATAAAAAAATCGTAATTAACGTATTTCGCGATCATATGCTGTGACCCAGCCATGGGAATGGGATGCATCAATATTTCATCATTTTTCCAATTATAAAGATCATAATCTTGAGAGTACATTGCCATTACAAATCTACTTTTAAATGCCAAGGAAAATCAGTATTACATGCTGGTCAAAATATAAAACGGAGTCTGATATAAATAAAAACATGTTGTACCAGGAGGTACGATCTAAGAAGGTTAACGAAACTAGGCCTAGGCCTACATCGTGCAGGTGAATAACAAAGTCTAAAGACAAAAAACAAAGTTTGCACAGACAGCAATTTAAGTTCACAAAATATTGTCATCTAAATTAAACAAGCATCAGTTTTCATGTTTAATTTGAACTATGGAGGAAATACTAATTCCTCCATGTATGAACAGGAAATGATAAACTATCCTCCATAATTTTCTTCTCAGCTACATTGTACAACCGCTACCCTCATGCCATTGTACTTGCTTAATACAACACAATGTTTTGAATGGAGAATCGTGTAGTGAAGAGCAACGCGTAGTAACCTGCTACCGTCATGTAAGATATGCATCACTAACCTAACGTTTGCTTGCTTTTCTTCTTTCGCTGCATTCCCCAATGGAGGCAAGCTACTACTTGTACTGTACTGTGGTGGTGTTTTTTCCGATCAGAAGCGATTTGAACCATCTCCTCCACTGACTTAAAATGGGTATTGGGGAGAAGTGAGGAAGGAATAAACAGGGCCAACTTTGGGGATAACTCCAAGAGATATTGACGGATGGATCGATCTTCATCCATTCTTAGGATATGCCCGAGGCAGACATGCCAACCCTACAAGGTCAACAAGTGAAGTATGAAAACCACCTGAGCAGGGTTTTGGCAATGTAAGAGGAGTATGTTAAATCACCATCGGGAAAAAAATATTTTTTTCCTAAGACATGGTACCAATGTGATCGGATTATAAAATTTAAGCCATTTTCACTAACAATGATGCTTAACATTAGGCGTGATCTACAAATTATCTCCAACAACAGAAACGGGTCAAACACGTTTACTATTGTTATATGACAAGCTCCCGAAACGCGTCCGTAAAATGCCGTTTGGAAGCTTGTCGTTCAAGGCGTTTATTCCGTTTGGAAGTTAACTCCTCCCCTTTTCATATGGCTCACTGCTCGTGAATGGCAAATGTTAAACGCGTTCAACGAAATTTGGAATTTGATCGTGATTTAAATAACTTCAAAACTTGGTGTCCCTACCGTATACTACCTAGGCTATGTAGGCCTAGGCCTATATTTATAATAGTAGTAGCCTAGTAGTAAAATGCTAGCCTACGCTAGGTGACAGTTCACGAAGAAATGTTTATAATAAAGGCCTAAATTTAATTATTTTTCTTGTTGGGGAAACCCCAATGTTTCTTGTATTTTAGTAGGCTAAGCCTTACCGTTACCTGTAGGTTTTATAGAAGAGAAAGCAATCGCCAGTAACCTTCCTACCCAGATTATATTGTGCGATGTTCGAATTGACCTATCAAAACAAGTACCTTTTGCCCAACTTTCTAATTCCCGCGTGCCTGCACAGCCCGCACATATACAGCATGTAAACACTGACCTGGATCAGCCGCAGTTGAAGAAGTTCGTTGTGGCGATCACGTGATATCGCACGTAGAACAACGTATGCTACGGCATTGTTTGTTTTACTGTGTACTGTGAATTTAATACATGTTTGTATTATTATATATATTATTATGTTTTAAAAATGGTTAAACCATGGCACATGTTTATATTGCTGAACAAGGCAGTCGGCTATTCCCTTCTTGCGGAGCAGCAGCGCGTTTACATTCCTGAAGGCGGCGTTCAAAGAATCAGATCAGACACTAGAGCGTCTACATTCCTGAGTTTGCGGCATTTGAAGAGAAGACTACTGTATGTGATTGACCTTGTGTCTGCTTCTCTCATGCTTCTCCTGATCGTGGGAACCTACTTGTGTGGGAACGTTTCTCACTGAATTCACTGTTACTAGGCAATTTGCAGCAATAATGCAAAATGGTGGTATATGCCTATTTCAAACAGTTTATTTCCGTTCATGACAAAGTAAGAATATCGATACAAAACAAAGTGAATTGATTTTATTTCTGAACGGGACCGGTAGCGGCAGGATTTGGCAGACGGGGATACGATGTCTCCGACAGGGTCGGCAACGAAAGCGCAAGTGGGCGTGGTCGGGCGTCGCTCAAACTTTCTGGAATTGTTTCAGGGTTGAAACCCCGGGATTTACGAAAATTTAAAGGTATCAAAGGCTTATTTAATCAATTTTCTAGTCTTCTAATATATCATAAAAATACATAATTTTTTCTCCCCCCCCCCCATCGTTTCGGCAGAAAAGCCAGTTTGTTTTTCTAAATAATTATCAACCATAACAGCATAACAGAGGGAGGGGGGCTATAGTGAATGCATCAACACCTACCATGTTAATATATATTCACTATTATATTCAATAAAGATTTTTGTATCGCCCCATGCGTATCGTATTTTCTGATGTAGCCAAATGTTTCTACAGGAAGAATAGGGTAGGCCTCGTATATCATTTTTATCCATGAACACTATAAATTGTATGCAATGCTTGTATTTAATGAGCCTAAATAAATCATCGGGAATATGCATCGATAACTAAATAAAATCACGAGGCAAATATTAAAACAGTGTAAATATTTATTTCATTTCCTTAACTTAACTTATATACCGGGATGGTGTACGATGGGGAATAGTTTTTACTATCATAGTTTAACTTTTATCTATCAGAATCTAGCCCCGAATCCTAGACTCATGTATTTAAAGCGGCCTGTAGCATGTGTATACAGCATATATTTGTATTTTTTGTCCGAAATATAAGAATTGAATACAGTTTTCTGTACACTACATGTTTGTTTGGGTCAGTTAAGAATTAGCACCTAATTAGGCCTATTAATAAAATACAACGGTACACGAGCATTCACTTGTATGTTTTATTTATATTTTGACATTAACATAGGCCTTTAACACTCAATATTATTTTTATTTAACATAAGCCAATAAACAGCTTCCGCACATAAATAACAGTAGGCCTAACCAATAAAAATATATAAAACACAAAACAAGATTTATGCAAGATTTAAACAAATTAAACTATACAGAATTCGCCGCCCAGCAAGCAGACAAGGCCATACTTTAAACTGGCATCCAGGCACTCCATCGAACGTCCTATTGTTAGCATCTCAACTGACCCACTTCTGTCAGAGCGGCGCTCAAAGCGAATTTCTATAGACCACGGAGGAAAGTTCTTTCCTCCATGTATAGATCAACACCGGCCACACAGTCAGTGACATTTGTCACGTGATGTTGCGTACTCTGTTGGACTGATCACATCCACACACACGAGGTACCCAATATTAATTGTACAGTAGTTGCATAGGCCTAGTTGCTGTATATGTATATAATATATATTGATGCCTCGTCTAATAATAGAGAAAATAGATGTTCTATTTTCTCTATAGTTTATTGAATGATGTTTGGCGAATACTGGCATCCATTTGTGTTCCCATGTGATACGTGTGCAGGGATTTAATAAATGTTTTTGTTCAGTATTTTAAATTGTACAAAAACGGTAGTTCAACCGGGGCCTGGTCTAACGTCACAGATGCGTTTGTCGCCCAAAACAATAGAAACAATGGCAAACGCGTTCAACAGCACAAACCCGTTTAGACGCGTCTGGGACATATTCCGACTAGCTTATTAATATTCATGAGGCACGATAATTAGACGATCGCTTTCGCAGACGCGTTTGTAATACATGGTTTTCCCAGACGCGTTTCTGTCGTTGGGGATAATTTGTAGATCGCGCCTTAGCAATACCACTGTGCAAGGCAAGAAAGAAAATCAACACTGCACAGATCACATTGAACGTAGGCATCACCTAGTTTTGATTTTAAAATGACAGAAAAATTAATTAATTAATGAGAAAAAAAACAATAAGGGGCTGCCTAGGCCTACATTAAACTTCATTTTGGAACATGTGGTTTACTAGACAGTTTTTGTTACGAAATCAGTAGACCATGGAGCATTATACAGTTCAGAGTGCAGTGCAACTCTGATGATGATTTGTCTTGACTTTTTTTTTTTCGGAATCAGTAGACCGTAGAGCGCGAATTACTTTATTGTATACAGTTCTGAGGCTGTTTAGGATGAAATTAACTGGTTTTGTTCTTATCTAAATAATAGGATTCAATTATTAGGAAATGTGAGATTTATTTCAGCCGGCTGAAATGCGTAAAAAATGGTTGGCTTGTCTATAGGGGTAGTTTTATCGCCTTTGTCTCACATAGTCAACTACGTCGAATAAAGGTTCTTCACGATAAAAATATGTCATCACTTTTAAAAAATCCTGCAGTACATGTCCCATTACTTGGTACTTGGTTCCATTTCCAAAGCCGTTGGGAAGTAAATAAATATTGAGTGACAGTTAGAAATATTTCATTTACTGTATTTGTTATAGTAATGTATTATTTTTATAATATAACATTCTGTAAATGTTATCTGTTGGGCTAAATTTTGCTAGGCCTGAGCCCCTAAGCTAGACTGGTGGTAGTAGTAGAGTGCTCTGATAATTGTCGCCGTTTTTTCCAGCTAAATTTCTTAAGCAACACATTCAGTCATTTGGAGTATAAGTCAACCACCAAATAGCTACTGGAAATGCTAAAATATAGGCCTATTTGTTGTGGTTACACACTTTGTGTTTTGATCTCTATCATATCGCAAGTAACATAAACGACCGCTGTGACTTCATCACCGGAAACCGTAAGATATGGATGACCTTATTCATGAGATATTTTTGTATATAACCTCAAGCAATCAAGTTTAGCAAATATTTTTTTGATTGGTTTTATCACCTACATCTTTATTATTCATTAAAAACACTAGATATTACCACTGGTTCAACTTCACATTAGACAGCACCTACATGCAAAATTTCAGCTTTCTACAAGTCATTTTACTACTAGTTAATGTGTTTACAAAGCCAACGTGACCTCTGTGACCTCACTTTTTTATGCCGACGAGGCTTAGTTTAATGTTGTTGTTAAACAATATAAACAAAAAATTTCCGAATGTAACCAAAGTAAGATTGTGGGCCAAACACATTATATCATTGTAAAAAAAAAAAAAACTTTATATGGTTCACTTACAGAATGCCAGTTTCCGTCATTAATTGCAGATTCACTTTCAATGATACCTACACCTGAGCCACAATCAAATCTGAACACAATCTTTCCATCTGCCATGTTAACACCAACGAAATCAATTTCACGCCTATCAGCAGCATAGTATATCATTGCATCTTCTGCAGTAGTTTTCACTTCAAACTGCAGGATACCTCTAAAAAAAAAAAACATTAAATGCTAGTTAATACTGGCTCCTATGGGTCAAACAACAAGATGGGTTGCATGCTAATGAATACAAATTAATAATTTTGCTGTCAAAAAGACACCAAATGAATTCCAAACAGGTCAGAAAAAATGTAATTCTACTGATGTAGAATGTGTTGAGAATTACGTTGCTTCCATAATAGTCCATGAGACAGGAGTTTTAGGGAAAAAAGAAAAGCCTTGGAGCATTTATTCAAGGGAGGTAATTTAGGTGTTCATTCCAAACCAGGTGCTGAGGGGGGAATTTATTTGAGGGAAAGTTTACAAAAAAAAATCAGTACGGAACACATACATAAATTTTACACTAATACAACTTTTTGCATGAAACCAAATGCTTTCACTTGTTATTTTATGGTAATGAATTATATCAAAAGCTTGATTTTTATGTATTATACAGAATAGTCCTACAATATACAGTTTTGCAATTCCAATATTTGTAGCATTAACTTTACGAAGTCACCCCTCTCTTAAGTTTGCAAATGTGATTTCAAAAAGAAGCCCATCCAGAACAGTAAAAATTTCAGATTTTACCGGATTAGCATTTACACTGCTTATCATGTAGAATACACAATAATAAATAAAAAATATAAGAAAATATACAATTTCCTTTGAAGCAATGTACTTTCATCGAAAAATTAGAATCTAAGCATTTTTGCTTATAGTATGATTAATACATCTTTCTTTTAGTAAAAAAATACCAGTTTTTAATCAGTAACAAAGACATACTGCTAACCTTTTTCGGAGGTTTGTTTCATCATATACTTTTCCATCTGCATACTCAACACGACTTGATCCACTAAACATTATAGCACCTTTATCTGCTTCATCAACATCAATAACATCACCTGATTTCGGAGGCTGAAGAGCACATGTTTGTAACTGCATTGGCTTAGTTGTCAAAAGTAGCGTTTTATTACTAAGAGGTGGTTGAGTAGTAGTAACTATAGATGGTTCCAGAAGCAAAGTTAGTACACAGGATCCAAACTCAACATTGGCATCATCTACTCTATCAGAGAAACTCACAAGACTGAAATGAAAATGTTTTAATAACTTTAGTTATCTAATTTAATATAGTATATATTATAGACTTCATTTAATTTATTTTTAATTAGAAAAAAAAAACACAATACACAATATTGAGGTAGTCTGGGCCCTCCATCTGTAAAAAAGATTGTCCAGTCCCCTTCTATTTTAGAATTCCTGAATCTGTCACTGAAGTTCAGTTACCTTGTATCTAATATTACATCTGCTACACAACCAATAAACCCAACATTGCTCTGTGAGTTGCTTCCAAATGAAAGTTGGCCACCACTGATGGACCATGTACTCGCTGAGTTAAAATTACCAACCTCAACATCATCAACATAGAGAGCCAATCTGTAAAAAATACATACAATATTCTATAATCATTTTATGTTACCAAACCAAACCAAACCTGTCGGACAGAGCTTGTCGGGCAGTCAGACCATAAAAAATATATAAATAGGCCCACACCAAGGCAAAACATGTCTGCCACAGTCCGATAGCGCCATTTCCGGCCATCCAGAGGTTGCTATCTCATTTGGGAGTGGAACCCTCTTTCAACCCCTTCCCCCAGCTCAGGCATATGATTCAAGTCCCCTGTCGGACAGCTTAGCGCACCCCCCTCCCCCCAAAAAAAACAAAAATTCTAAATATTTTAGCAGATCTGTAGGGTAAAATTTTTTCTATGTTATTGCTCTTCTGTAAACAATTTGATATTAAGATTTACACTTGTTCTGTAATGCAAGACCTTTTTTATACTTCACAGAGGGCGAGTTTCGCATTCACCAAAACACTGAGAAATAAAAATCAATTTTAAGTTTCAACATTATTTATCCAAGGAGGCCCAGATCAACACAGGTTTGATCTTCCCTGATCTGAGACTGAGGTGAGGGAAAAGACTATGTGCTGACAAATGCAAAGCCAACACTAATGCTTAATCATTCAAACTGTCAGAACCAGTGCTGATATTATGGATGTAGTTTGCGGCGGCCCTGCCTTAACCGCTCGGTCATTCGACTCGCTTTATAAATATATTTCTCATTAGGATTAGTTAACTAAAAATATTGCATTTTCATAATTACATGTTGGAAGTAACTTTTCAGCTTAATGTTTAGCTCTCATGGTAGAATCAAGATATTTACATTCATTTAACTAACTGTCAGACTGATGCGCTCTGCATTTGTTGACACTGACTGAATAGCTTTCTTGAGCACACATTTCTTTGTGGTGGTGGCGTTTTAAATTTCCCATTAGGGAGACAATTTTTGTATTGAAGGTTCTCTTAATAGAGGTTCTACTGTTCCAAGACTGTTGGTCAAAGTTCAAATATACATCTGGTAATGATTTAAGCACTAACCTTGTATTTTGTTTTACAAGTGTAAGCACATGCCAGTTGCCATCGCTTACATTCTTCTGACCAGACAACGCAAATACCGTGTCTGATGATCCTTTGCCATTAACTTGCAATATGCTATCTTGCAGGATTGCTGAAAGGTCCTGTTACATTAAGAATAAAGGAAATTCAGAAAGCCATGAACATCCTCTACATCATTTAATTAAAATATACATATACATACATATACATACATATACATACATATACATATACATATACATATACATATATATATATATATATATATACATACATACATACATACATACATATATACATATACATATATTTATATCTGCAAGGTGAAAGAGTAGGTGCCCCAACTGGTATTTGAACGCAGGACCTTCTGCTGTCTATGCAGATTCCTTAACCAACTAGGTTGTGTTGCTTTGTTGGGAATTCAAAACGGATTGAAGCATCTAATTCCTTTACACTCATGCACATGTGTATTAGATAGCACAGTCCTTGATGCATGGCAAATAACAGAGGTCAATATGATACGCCCGTTTCTTATCAGCAACTGATAAGATGAGACCACGGAAGAGATGCTTTTTACGAGTAAATAATTATATAATAGCGACAAACTCTAAATTGTCTTGTGGAAAAGCTGTAAATAATTTTTTAAATGTTAAAGGAGAGTAATCTGCAAGTGAAAAAAAAAACACCACCTCAGAACCAATATTGAAGATGACGCCAGAACTGTCATAAGTACGAAAGCTCAGAGTAAGCTTAAATTGAAGGCCTAAGTTGACATGATCAGACAATGTAACAAAGCCATTTCGTTGCAAGTTAATTAATCGCACTTCCTATAAAGAAAAGATAAAATAAGTAAAATAAGTTAAGACTCTTGTACTGTTTTATAAATGTGTGCATTAATTCAATGTATAAGAAAGATCTTAAGTGTTTACAAAAAAAAATTTAAACATTGCATAAAAGATTTTTAATGTTCGTAATTGATATTTAAAATAAAGTAGTTTAATATTTTTATTTATTTTGAAGTTTGTATATAAAATCTTTTTTAATGTTCATTATTATCAATTGATATCTCAATGTTATTTTTCCTGTAATGATGTTTTTGTGTCGACTTGCTTTTCTTTAAAAATGTGTCTGGGTTCACGGTAACCAATCGCCAAGTCGCCATGGGCGAAAACAATTTTGAATTGGCGAAACAAAAAACAACTACTTTAGCCATCTTGGCAAAAGCTTAAAAATAATTAAAATGTTTTTTTTTTCAGTACTTGCTGAAATACATTGTTTCTTTCGTCCAACCTCTCCATGGAAATATTTTTCCGTTGGAACGATCAATGCCAAGATCTCCATTTTACGCTACTCCATTGCCAGTGCAATGCGACGTTTATGTGTGTTGTTCTATTAGTGTGACTACAAACGTCACTGTGTGGATCGCAAATTATTTTGTTATTTTAAAGTGGGCAGCGTAACAATCAGTGACTGGGTGGTAACGACTAATTTCTATGTTCATGACGGTCGGCTAGCTGTTAGCGTGCCCCAAATGCCCAAGTGCACACAGCATAACTAAAGCAGCCGACTGTCAGGTAAATAATGGCTTTCGAGCTTGGGGGTTTTTCCTTGAATGCTTGAATGATTTTAATGTCAAGGCCAGGCCAGGCTAGGCCATGTGCGATGGTTAAAAATCTAATCAGTTATCATTTTATTATAGTCAATTATGAAGATTACATTTAAATGTGTGTGTAATACTTTTTCAACATGAACAATGGGGGTCACATTTACACTTGGTTATGATTGACTTTCCGCACTATTTTTAGCTGTATTAATCAGCACGATCTACGTATGTAACGAGTACACAGAGCTTAGAGTGACGTCGACGACGCTGAAAGTGCGGTTTAATTTCCCAACGAGACTGTGACACATTTATTGATCGGTGAAACTTTAAACCAACGACGTATGCTGATGGTGATCGTGTAGGTTTCAAAGCAGTACAGTTATTAAAAAACTGTAAGCCTAACTGAAATATTCCTTGAATGAATGCATAAAATAAATGTCACAGCTCTCAAGGAGGCCTAGACTGCATTCCTTGCTCTATTAGTGAACCCAGTGTGTAGAGTAAAAAACAATTTTTAAATGTATTTTTAATGCATAAAATAAATGTTGTCGATAGCAGCGCATTTATTCATTCATATATATAACTTTTTGTTATGCTTTTGTTTACTGATTCCGTTTTGAATATATAAAGAAATAATTCCAAAGAGAAAAGAAAAACAAATTAGTACTCACTCTATGCTGACAACCAAAATAAAAGCCCTCTGATAAACCTGTATTGTCCTCAATTATCATTCTTATGCCATTGATTATAATGTCTCTGATGCAACCCAAAAAGCCTTTAGTATTCACTACATCACTGTTAAATTAAACAATAAAATACAATGTTAACAGTATGTATAATAAACAAGACAACAATACTGTAAATAGAGGATATTAACAGGACAATAAAAGACGTAAAAGAGCATTTTGGGTATATAAACAATTATGAAATGGAAATACAAAATGTAAAGCAAGATGTGGCTATTCTATGTCGAAGGTGTTTATATTATTTATCATCTACATTACATTGCAAAAAATAAGTGCTCTTATATAATTCTATAATAATCATCACCTAGTATGCTGTACCATAATTTAACCACATGAACAATTACAGGGGCAAAATAAAATAAAATATGTTTAGAAAGCACATGTAACCAGACATCCCGGAAGGGATTTCTGCCAACTTAGGACCCCTGCATCTACATGTCCAGTACTTACTATAAGAATCAAATTATAACTACCGGGGAATTTACTTGTTAAGACATAAGTATGAACACTATTAAATACAGTGATAGTTATACCTATGTGGAAACTGCGATGGTTGAACCAATCCACCAATTTGAATGACAGCATTGATGCTTTCTTCTGATGGCAATGTTCCTTGTGCACTTGCCAATTTCTCTGCAGCCCTACAAACAGCAAGCATCAATATTAATTTATGGAGGGGTGTGTCACATATATATATAACTTGAAAAGCAAAAGATAGATAGATATATATATATATATTGAAGAGTGGGTTTACATGTATGCTCCAAGTGAAATCAAATGTAAAAACAATGAGTAAACGGTGTACAATCATTGAAAGTTGACTTGCGGAACACAAATTTATTAAACTGTAACAAAATCAAACGGATATTTCGATAGCTCCTGCTATCTTTATCAACGTTAAAGTAAAAACACTTTGGAGATCCTGCACATACATAAAGAATAATAAATGGTATTAATCTATCAGAATCAAGTTAAAGATACAATTAGTTGATTGGCCCACAAAATGTAAGATCAGTGACAAGTTAATAGGCAAATTAATTAAAATTAAACCATGATAAGATGTCGGCAAAATGATTATGTAAGCGATCGTTTATTGGCGGTATCATTGAATCAGCTTAATGCTAAGACTTTAATTGAGAGTAATTTAACTATAGTAAAAAGTAACAGGAAATAAAATATAATATAAGGTCCTATATAATTAAACAAATTGTGGAAGAGAAAATAAAGTGTAGGAATATAAAGGTATGTACGAGTTTAAATAATATAACGCATGATATCATGATGGCTATTAAATACAGTTTAGAAATCAATGAATATAATAAAATTAACAATATATAGTATATATTGTAGGATACTGTATTCATAGTGAATTATTGCGTATGAAGGCATAATCACATGTAGAGCCTAAGTCCTTATTTAGACCCTTAATGTGAGTTTTTAACTGGATTATCCATTTCATTTCTGCGTTGCATCGTTCGTGTGGATTTAAAATTGAAACTTATTATTATTATTGATGGCGTGATTAGGTGAATTAAAATGTGCACTTACTGGGCAGTTGAGTATGTGTCTTATAGATGATTTGTTGTTGTTCATTCTAGATCTAAAAGTGAGACCAGTTTCGCCAACATAGTTTCCCTTGTTGCATTTGTTGCAGTATATGAGGTATATAATATTGGGCAAGTTACAATTCAGTACTGGTGGCCGGATTGTTATTTGTGTCCCTGGTGGAGTGAATGAGCGGTCTTTATTGATGATGTTGCATGATTGGCATCTAGAGCTGTTAAATTGTGTGTTGCCATGTATCGGTTTAGTGGAGGAGAGTTTAGATGAGGTTAACATGGACTTTAAATTAGGGGGTTGCCTACATGCGAGTAGAGGGGGCTGTAAAAATAATTCTTTAATCAGCAGGTCTTCTTGGAGGGAGAGGAAGTCTTTTTTAATTTTCTTAGACAGTTGTAGGATGTTGGGGCTATAGTCGAGTACCATAGGTAGCCGATCATTATTATATTTAGGTCTATTATACGAGAAGATCAGTGCGAGATTTATGTGAGGCTTTTTCAATCTGGATTTTTATTACACTTAATGGGTAGTTGCTTGACATGAACTTGCAGTGAGAAGAGATGTGTTTGTTATAGTCGGATGAACATGAGCAGATTCGACGCAGGCATTTGATGATCGTTTAAGACTCATAGGGTGTGAGCTTCTGTAGATGAGGTATCGATTGTTGTCTGTTGGTTTTATGTGTACTGATGTGGTGATGTTACCATTATCTAAATTAATAGATACGTCTAAGAATGGTAAACTGGACTTGGAATGATCCATGGTAAACTTAATGCTCGAATGATACGAATTGTAGTGATTAGAAAATTCTCTACGACTATCTAAACCGTGCTACCAAATAAAAAAAATATCATCAATATATTTACAATAATATGATGGTTTCAATTTCAAACTAGATAACATGTTTTCGAGGTTAGCCATAAAAATGATGGCATAGCTAGGTGCCATCTTTGTTCCCATACTAACTACTGTCTCTTATACACATCTAGATGTGTATAAGAGACAGATTTAGAAGTTCTTAAATAAAAAACCCGCGAGTTCTTCATGTGTGTTCAATCAAGACGCAATCATTACTTTTCATATGACATACCCTACTGAAAGCCTTCCTTCCAAGCCATCTCTGAAGGCCATCACATTGTATTCATTGCCATCATTGTAAGTTTCATCACTTTCAATCTCAAGTGACACACCTTCACCATTCATAAAATTCATCACTACTTTGCCACTCCTCAAGGACAAAGACAGGAAACTGTTTTCATCTCCAGCATAGAACAGCAACCCATTTGCAGCAATTGATTTGAAAACTAGGCTAACAGCAAACTTCTCATTAGTAGAAAGACTCTTAGTACCAAGCAGCAGGTATGCATCACCATTGAACTGACCAATATTTGAAGTTGCTTCATCACTGTTTCTAAACAATATATAATTTATATAATAAATACATTTAATATTTGTATTTGTTATTTGTATAATAACTGTGTGTGTTGAGTGTTATTTCTTCATCAGTAAATAGACTGAAAGAAGGCATGTACAGATGGGCAAGAAGAGGAAAACAAAGGATTATTTCATGGGATACAGAAGAGTATCACCCTTAAAAAATCTAAATATATAATCTTTACAAGATACCAACATAAACAACAACAAAAAACAATTACTAACACTGGCCTCTGAGTTACACCTTCAATTCCTTTAATTGTTTCAAAATTCCACAATCCAATGACATGGTCATCAAAATACATCTCTTGTATTGTGCCTTGATATGAAGCTGTCGATAAGCTCTCGGGTACCTGTGAAAAAAAGTTCATATTTTTAAAAAATTACTAGCTGAATGAATGTTCGTTACAATCAGATAAACAGATTTTTTTTTAAAATATCATTCAAATTTGTGGGGGTCTTCATTGTATTGATACATGTAGAAGGATTTATGTATGTACAAGGATGATTGCATATGCAGGTTTGAATATTGGTTTCTGGGTAGCGGGAGCCCTAGCTAGGCAAATGCAAAATACTTATAAATTGTGGTATATCCTTACCTCATCAAAATCATTTGGAAAACCTCCAAAGAAAAATGATGAATCTGCAGCAAGATCAAAAATGACAGTAGGAGACTCTGAAGTACCCTCAACAACATCGTCTGTTTGACCCGGAGTAGCGATACTGATTGATGCACCACTTCCCAATCTTTAACAATACATAATAATTTAGTGTCAAAAAGTTAACACAAGACAAATTTATTGAAGTAAATTCAATTATCTTGTCTTGCTCATAACTACATAATATTGTAAAATTGATAATTTTGCTAGTCAAGCCCTAAGTACACATTAGATTAGTACCAAATTTAGCGAAAAGGATGTCAGGAGTGCTGTCGAACAAGCACCTTCACACACACACATTATTTTTTATTTATTTTATTATTTTGTACATTAGGCGAGACTTTATTTATACCTTGTTTCGTAAACCCCGCTTCCCGCCAATATTGATGATTTCGGAAAAAAAACAAAATTATTGTTTTGGCCAATTAACGCACCTCTCTCCATGAAAAAATGGAAATAAATGTTTTCTTTATTTTTATTATGCCTGCCGCTGCCCCTGCATTGAAATCTCCAAAAATAAGTAATGTTTATTTCTTCCAAATTATATAAATTTAAAGCATTTAATATTCCATTACTACACTGTTTACATTTAACAATAACATTTTATTTATATTTTCTCCTTCATCTGAATGTTTTTGGCAAAATTATTTGCTAAATAAGAAAACTATATTTTAATTTTATATTTTTTTTTCTGACATTTAATAAAATAAGTTCGCAAATTGTCAGCATGCAAATTAATTTAACAAAAATTGGTATTTTTGAAAATCTGAAATTTAAAAACAGTATTTTTAAAGGAGTGTTTATATTTTGCAGCAATTTTGAGAGATAACCTTATCAGCATACCTTGTAATCGTAATTTCATGCCACTCTTGGTCATTGATATTTTGGTTCGATTTGATACGAGTTGGTTCGTCAGTTCCCAAACGATATATTAAGTTAACATGTCCATCTATTATCTCACTAGCTATGAAGTCATCCTGTACAGAATTAAAAGAATATAATTGAAAAAAAGGAGCTATGTTGTAAAGATCATACCGGGCATGGCCTATCAACAAAGTTACGTATGGATTGTTTGAAAAAGTGCCCCTACTTTTTCCAACAATTGATAAGAATCTTATATACACCCCTACAATCTAAATGCTGTATTTTATTATCATTTTTATTAGAAGACGACGATCAGCTACCAGTTTTTGTCACTCTTGATGACGACAGCTCAATCAGACTTACCATGTACCGCAAAACAAACACATATAGACAGATATATGAACAGTTTAAACCATCACATTCAACACTAATGGTCATTAGTACATTCCATAATGCATATATCAAACATCATAACCAACCACAGGGTATTTCTTGAGTGGTACTAATTTGTAGAAATAGACCAAAACTGTTGGGGGCCGCCTTGTGGCAGAGTCCCAAGGGGGCAAAGTGGCGATCTTCAGACATTTTTGATAATTTTAGTTCCTAATTGATTCCGATTTCATTTGAGGATCCAGGAATTCAAAATAGAGGAGTGGTGGGGGGAGGGGGGAGCCACTTTCACAGATGTTCCTTTAAAAGTTTCTGATCAACACATTTATAAAATAAAATATTTGTACAATTAAATAATTAACATATAATTACATACATTTCCTATATTGATACCCTGTAAAAATAATGTAATATACAGTATTAGTCCAGCAATGCTGAATGCAAGCCCTGTCTACCCAGTTCTTTTTGTTCGCATTGAAAGCAATATATCATCCATGATGGTCAAGTCTGGATAGTGTTCCCGACGAGAACAGCGGTGGCGCTTGGTTCATAAAATGGCTCTTCTGATCATTTACTAATAATCATTCATTCAGACAGACTGTTGTAACAACTATTAAAGTACACAATCAATGGAGACTTTAAGGTACAGTAGATTATTTTTACCAATGCTGATACCCTCAGTTATGATTTCAAGCACCAAGATTTTAGAATGTTATAAATGCTCCATGGAATGACATGTTAAAATGCTCTTCTGTAGACAATGTATGGGAATGTTGGTCAAATATTTTTCAAACATGTATCGGCGATGCTGTCCCCCGTATTAAGTACAAGGGTAGGCCAAGAAATCTATGGAAAAACTTCGGATATTGTTCATCTTTCACATAAAAAAAAATATCTTTATAGAAAATTTTTGAAAAAAGGTGCTTGTAAAGAAAGCATTCATTGGAAAAAAAAATTCTAATACTAAATACAATACTAAAATAAAATACTAAAATTCGTAATAAGCTTCGTCAACTTACCAGAAATAGTTACCTGTTATACTTAGATAAGCTTGGAGATAATTTCAAATCCAATCCTAAGAGATTCTGGTCATTTGTTAAGAATAAACGGAATGTCAGCCCTCCATCTGATTTTATGTATGAGGGTGTGTTATTACAGTCATCCACTAACATATGTCAAGCTTTTAATACTTATTTTAAACAATGTTTTACTATTGATGAATGTGTATTGTATTATTATTAAGCTTAAAAATAAAATAATAGCTCACCTGGTCTTGATGGCATATCTGCTAGAACCCTTAAACCCATAGCAGATGTCATTTCTTATTCTCTTGCCGACTTATTTAACCTTACCCTTTCCGTTGGGGTCATCCCCACTGCTTGGAAAACCTCATGTGTGTCCCCCATATACAAAGGTACTGGTGAAAAAATAGACATCAAAATGTACCGCCCAATTGCACTAACATCTGTCATCTGTAAAATCCTGGAGCGCCTTATTTTTAATCATGTGTATAATTTTCTTGAATCTAATTCCATTATCTCAAACTTTCAATTTGGTTTCCGTAAAGGCTACTCCTCGTGTTCAACCCTCTTGACCCAAGTTTATCATCATTGGGCCAAAGAACTTGACAAAGCTAAACCTTGCAATATTCATACCGTTTTCTTAGATTGGAGTAAGGCTTTTGACAAAGTGAGCCACCACACTCACTTATCTAAGTTACATGCCATAGGTTTCTCAAGGCAACTGTGGTCTTGGACCAAACACTTCCTAACTAACAGATCTCAATGTGTCCGTTTTCAAGGCAGCATTTCAAATTTTGTTACCATGACATCTGGAGTACCTCAGGGCTCAATACTGAGACCTTTATACTTTATGATATTTACTAATGACTTAATTTCGTCAATTTCTCCCCGTACGTCAATGTTCCTATATGCAGACGACTCGCTTATCTACCGACCCATCCGAAGCGCTAATGACCATACCACCCTCCAGAATGACCTTAATAACATATTTCAATGGAGCCATTTTCATAGCATGACCCTTAACTGCAGCAAATGTAAAACCATGTGCATCACTAGAAAGAAAAATGTCCATTCAAACTATACCATAGATTTACCCCTCTGTCCTTAGTTACCACGCACAAATACCTTGGCGTTACCATTTCATCCGACCTTAAATGGAACGCACATATAAGTTGCATTACTTCAAAAGCACTGCGCACACTTAATTTAATTAAACGCACTTGTGGCCAACATCCTCTTTCTCTTGTTCTTTTAAAATTTTTAGTTAGGCCATTATCTGTCTCTTATACACATCTAGATGTGTATAAGAGACAGAATGATGCTTTAGTTGGCCTAAGATTATGAACATCAAATTATTATTATTACAACATAATATTACTTAAATAAATGTTTTAAAACACTATGGCATCCTTTAAAAAAAAAAATAATTTCCATAAAACAAAATAATAATTGATGCCAACCTAGCACAGTGTGACCAAATAAAATTAATGCTAACACTTGAAAATTTGAAATTTTCTTTATAAACAAATTTCAGAGAATATCTAAAATAATATGTTTGTCACTGACTGATCAAAACTCTATTGAAAATACGCAATTGAACTTTGCACAATTCCTCACAATATCGTGAATTGAAACGGATTATAAACGCAGCAAGTAAGACGATTGCATCAACCAATCAGAACTGAGAAAGGCAGCTGGCGTTATGAATCATAGAAGAATCACATTTACTATTGCCGGTGTTATCAACATGAAATTCTGGAAATAATATTAATTATAGAATTACGAAATTGAGACTATATACACGGTTTATAAATACCAAAGCTGGTTTGAGGGACCATACAACCAATTAAGTTAATATCTCTGAATGTGAGGCATCAATATTTGTATTGATTTATGCAAATTTATATAATTATCGAAAATGAAAAGATCCTATCTATACGGATATGCGCTGTCATGGAGATTGTAATATGATATTGTATGTACCCACAGATAATTTAACATCAATAGTTTGAAATTTCGTAATGCCCTCTCACTCACAGTATTACACGTACCTATCATTCTCATAATTTTTTATCCAATGCTATATATTACGCTATTATCGCATGCACTAAATTCTCTGATTATTAATACATTACACTGTGTGAAACATTTCAAACTTTGATGTTCAACAATGGTTAATAGATAGGTCAAAGGAAGGCAGAAAAAAATTACAGTAAAATTTTGTTTTTTTATCCAGTTTTTGCAATAAAAGAAGAGAAAATACAAATAAAATATTATTGTTGAATGTAAACAGTGTAGTATGGTAATGGGATGGTTAAATGTTTTAAATTTATATAATTAGGAAGAATATATACATATCTTACTTTTGGAGATTTCACGGCAGCGGCGGGCGTAATAAAAATAAAGAAAAACTTTTTTTCTGAAATGCAGACACTGGCAATACATGTTCAACTACTTTTACCAACCATTTATAAAACAAACACTATGTCCAACATTGCTTGTTTGTAGCAAGTTGTATAAGGTTTTCAAGATCGCCGAAGTTTTTAAAGTCTTTTAGGTTTTTCAATTTTAGATTTTCATCCAGTGCTGCATCAAACTATTATTGCATATACAGTATGCACTAAATTCATAGATTCAGTTTTATCACAAACGCACGGCTTTACACCACAGGGGGTCCCCGCATTCGAGCACAAACTTATCTTGTCTAACCGTGTAAAAATTTACCTCGGAAATACTCGTTTATTGGTGACCTGTGTCACCGTCAGCTTTCCCCTAAATTTTCCTTCGATCCTTTGCAGTTATTTTTTTTTAAATACCGCTGTTTCGGCGGGTGCCGTCCAGTTGTCTTTGTATTCTGTCTCCCCCCCCCCCACAATGAGAGAAGGTAACATATCATAGGTTCGGTCCACACAGACATGTTGAAATGATGAAGATGATGCTATAACATTAACAACAGGTCAGCGAATGCATTTATTTTTGTAAAACTGGACAGGCCTATGGTTTTCGCGCGTGTTGAATTTAATTCATGTTGACCGCCAGACGGTAGAGTCATTAAAACATGATTAATGGTCGCGATAACGGCCTTTGACAGCGATACACGGTTCTATAACCCTAAATTTGGTGGTCAAAATAGGCGAGCGTGTTCCAAATGTTTTTTAAATCTTACCCCCGTTCGAGCCACGCACGGCATTTAACTTCCGTGTAAATACACGGACCTCGCACGGATATTTTACTGGCTCGAACGCACCCCATGATGGTCAAGCCTGGATAGTGTCAGATTTCCCCGCCGAGAACAGCGGTGGCGCTTGGTTCATAAAATGGCTGTTCTGGTCATTTACTAATAATCATTCATTCAGACTGTTGTAGTATTAAAGTACACAATCAATGGAGACTTTAAGGTACAGTAGATTATTTTTACAAATGCTGATACCCTCAGTTATGATTTCAAGCACCAAGATTTTACTACATTTTGTTTGCCATTTTCTAGGCCATGATTAAGTACCTCAATACCTGTCATCCATCAACAACCTGACTGTCAAGATGCAGCTGAGCCTAGGAATGAAATTACTGCTGCTGGGCCTAGGAATCTTACAAGTCTCACTAGTTGTGTTGATACAATACACTTGCCTACATCATAAAGGTAGCTGCTTTAGGCTTAGCAATTACAACTTTTATGAAGAGTTTAATAGGCCCAACTGTACTTTAACTACGGTATGCAACTATCATCAGTCTGTCTCTGGTCTAGGCATAAGTCTAGGCATACAAGTAGGCCTACCTCCTCCAGCTCAACCCATAAATGCACGGATAAGATCGGACACTATTATTAGGCCTTAGGCCAATGTACTCTATTTTTACCAGTCACCAATGATATTTACTTCTAGTGGTGTATCTCGGAGAAAATCTCACCTGGACCTTGCCAGTATTATAGTAACCATACTAGTACGTTCAATTTGTATACATTTACCTGATTGTGGAGACATTCATCCTAATCCCGGTCCTTCCAGATCAAGGAAAAATTACCAGTCTACTCAGCAGTCAACCCAGAAACAGACCAGTGGCACCCCCAAATTATCCTGTGGTGAATGCAGTAGAGCTATAACAAAAAATCAGCTTGGAATATATTGTGATATTTGTAATCAATGCTTCCATCGTGTCTGCAGTGGACTCGCTATTAATGAATTTAAGTTCCACTCATCCAATCAAACCTACTGGAACTGTCTTCGTTGTCGTCTGCCCGACTTTTCAGATTCTTTTTTTGAAAAAAACTCAAGTGAAAGCTCATCATCGTCATCATCACCATCGCTTAACCAGTTTGCCTCATCTAGCTTCATTAAACTCTACAGTACTAACTGCAGAAGCATTAAAAATAAACTTCTTGACTTCGGTACTCTTATTAATACTCACAATCCAGATTTCTTAACCTTATGTGAAACATGGCTAGATGATTCAGTTGATAACTCTGAGATACTTTCTGACCATTTTACAACTTTTCATAAAGATCGATTGTCAAGAGGTGGGGGTGTGTTAAATTCAGTTAAAAATAGTTTAAGACCATCTTTAGTTTCTACACCCTCCATTGCTGAAATTATATGGGTATCTTTCACATGTGACAAAAGAAAGTTTGTTATTGGCTGTTGCTATAGGCCCCCCTCAGCTGATATATCTGTTTCAGAAGAGATAGCTGCATCCCTAAATTATAATAAGTAACAACCAATCTAATTTTGACTGTATTTTCTTAACTGGGGATTTGAACCTCAGTTCCATCAATTGGAAAGAGAATGTTATTTATACCAATAATAATGCTACTCAAATTATACTTAATGGTTTTAATAGTCTAGGGCTTATTCAACTGGTACAGTCTCCTACCCATATGTTTCCAGTTGTTAACTGTAATGGTGATTATGGAAATATATTAGATCTGTTTTTATGTAACGATATCAGTTTTGTATCTGATTGTTCTGTGAATCATCCTTTGGGAACATCTGATCTCCTGTCACTAAATATTACACTTAACTTACCATTGCCTTATTGTAAACATAATTACCAACAAAATAGATAGGACTTTACAAAAGCTGATTTTGTTCAACTACGACATAATGTTATAAATGCTCCATGGAATGATATGTTAAAATGCTCTTCTGTAGACAATGTATGGGAATGTTGGTCAAATATTTTCCAAACATGTATTGACGATGCTGTCCCCCGTATTAAGTACAAGGGTAGGCCAAGAAATCCATGGATATAAGCTCAGATATTGTTCATCTTTCACATAAGAAAAAATATCTTTATAGAAAATTTTTGAAAAAAGGTGCTTGTAAAAGAAAGCATTCATTGTAAAAAATTCACTAAAATGCGTAATAAGCTTCGTCAACTAATACCAGAAATAGTTACCGGTTATACTTAGATAAGCTTGGAGATAATTTCAAATCCAATCCTAAGAGATCCTGGTCATTTGTTCAGAATAAACGGAATGTATGAGGGTGTGCTATTACATTCATCCACTAACATACTGTATGTCAAGCTTTTAATACTTATTTTAAACAATGTTTTACTATTGATGAACGTGTATTGCCAACTTACTCTGATTATCCTGCTCATAACTCACCTATGGAAGACGTTTTCATACTTCCTGAGTCCATCCATAGTATTATTATTAAGCTTAAAAATAATAGCTCACCTGGTCTTGATGGCATATCTGCTAGAACCCTTAAACCCATAGCAGATGTCATTTCTTATTCTCTTGCCGACTTATTTAACCTCACCCTTTCCGTTGGGGTCATCCCCACTGCTTGGAAAACCTCATGTGTGTCCACCATATACAAAGGTACTGGTGAAAAAATGGACATCAAAATGTACCGCCCAATTGCACTAATATCTGTCATCTGTAAAATCCTGGGCGCCTTATTTTTAATCATGTGCATAATTTTCTTGAATCTAATTCCATTATCTCACCCTTTCAATTTGGTTTCCGTAAAGGCTACTCATGTTCAACCCTCTTGACCCAAGTTTATCATCATTGGGCCAAAGAACTTGACAAAGCTAAACCTTGCAATATTCATGCCGCTTTCTTAGATTGGAGTAAGGCTTTTGACAAAGTGAGCCACCACACTCACTTATCTAAGTTACATGCCATAGGTTTCTCAAGGCAACTGTGGTCTTGGACCAAACACTTCCTAACTAACAGATCTCAATGTGTCCGTTTTCAAGGCAGCATTTCAAGTTTTGTTACCGTGACATCTGGAGTACCTCAGGGCTCAATACTGGGACCTTTATACTTTATAATATTTACTAATGACTTAATTTCGTCAATTTCGAGGAAATAAAATTATGAATTATGAATTATGAATTGATGACAAATTGAAATTTATCTAATTTATTAACTGACCTGTTTAGTTGGACCGCCATTGAAGAACAGGAGGCCATCAGTCGCATTGTTGATGTTAAAGGAAACTTTGGTGAAGGTACTATCACTTGCAGGCAAGGATCTCGCCTTCACATAAGCACCCTCTTCGGCGAAGGACACAGCTACCTTGATCTATAATATTGAAATTATTATATTTATGCAACATAATTCCTGTGAAATGAATACTTGCAGTAGAAATACACAGTTAACAATTCCTACTTCTGAAATTTATGTTAATTGACAGATACAAAAATGCACACAATACACAATCATTGGTCTGAATAGAGGAATATTCAACCAAATGTCCAATGAGATAAGATAAAATAACCTTCAAAATGTTACCAAATCTGAAAAAGTGGAGCTTATGAATAAACCTAATAAGTGACTGTTACGCCATTCACAAGCTGCATCGATCAACACTGATGGGGTTCAATGGAGAATGCATGTTGCGAAGTCAAGTGCTCAAAGACAGCGGAAATGGCATCGTCAACAGTCATACGACGCAGTGTACTTTAAGGTGATATTAAACACCAAAAAAAATGTAAAAGATAAATAACATTCCAATAAATACCTGATCAGCAGCTCCTCTTGCCTGCTGCACAAGCCTTTTAATTTCACTGATGTCAAGTTTCAGGCCTTCCTTTCCTTCATCAACTTCAGCTGCATTGCTCTGAATATCCTGCATTAGACTTCCCGCAGTAGTAATGTGTTCTCCTGACTTGTCAACTGTAAGTGAAAAATGCAACTTTTCATCATTAAAGATTAAATTTTCCTTTTTTGTCAAATTCTAAATACTTCAATTCAAAACATTTGAAATTGGAAATTTTGGCTTTAGTCAATCAAAAAAGGATCTGGGAAAGATATATTGTCCAACACAATTGGACAGGATGCATTAATCATTAATACTGTGCCCTGGTAGTAGATTCTGCTTGCCAAGGCAGTGTTACAATACGTTAAATTATAGTAATTTCACTTTTTACTATTTTTTTTAGACCCAAGACCAAGGAAAATCATTTAAAAAAATGTTTATTCCAAGCCATTGGATTTTTAATGGTCCTCTGTACAGTTAAACTTGCCGAAGTCGACTTTGCCTAACTCGATTAATTTCTAAGTCAATCTTATTTTACATGCCAAATTGTTGTGTTTTCCATTAATTAACTAACTGCAAGTCAAATTTTATCAAAGTCGAACAAATTTTCAATGGCAGTTTAGATTCAACTCAAATTACCTTGGAATTGACTGGGAGTCCCTTGACTCTGACGTTTAAGGTAGAAAATTTTAAGACGGTTACATTTTCCAGAAAAGTCAGATTTTATACTTGCGGTGGTAACATCCTGGATTTAATTTTAACCAATCAGGAGAATATGGTTTTGAATTTAAATGTAGTAGAACTTGGTTCAAATGTGGCTTCTGAATTCAGACTTCAATCGATAGGGACTTGTTTTTATGAACTGCCACTTGGGATGCATGTAGCCCGCAGTCAGAACTTTGCCACCTATGCTACAGAACCTTCCTACCTATACCATTATGAGGCTTAGAGAGTGGAGCAGTTATTCCTCGCGAGAAAAAGAAATCATATTACCGTGAAAGGAAATGAACCTAGGATATTGGGACTGAAAGGCAAGCATATCAACACCAAGCTATTCTCATCCACTCTACGTAGTTTACTTACGCTTTGCCTCTGCCTGATCCAAAGCATTATTAGCAGCCATCACATCCTCATCTATGCCAGCTAATCTGTCAGTATAAACACTCAATTCACCTTGCATAGTCTGTACTAAAACCTTGGTTTCGTTTGCAATATTACTAGCACTCATTGCCGTAGCAACAGCTTTAAGAGCTGCATCTGAATCAACTGAAATGAAGATATTACAGATATTAATATTATAAAGTATATGTACAGTAAAACACGAACGTCAATTTTACGAACAGTCGATTTTACGAATGGTCTTTGCCTCATCATCGACCAATCATTACAGTAAAATAAAGTCAGATTGCTCAAGTTTTACAAAGTGATACTGTATATTTCTGTTAATAAAATTTGTTGTATTTATTTATTAATAGTTTGATCTTTTCTACCATTTCTGGTATAATAATCACAATATCAATGTAATAAACCTAACCAGAACAACGAACTACCAACGTAGGTGTCATCGGATTGCACACATGGTTACGATAAGACAAACAAGAGTGTTGGGGTCAGCAATTTTTTTGACATCGTGAATTCAGCGATCTAACAACTCAACTAGAAAGAACGATAGAAAGGTCCATAAAACATACAGATGTTTGAATTAATATTTTGTTAAGTGGAAGATTGCCAGCGATTAAATAATTTGGTTTTTATAGAAGGTAAATTCAGCTGGGCTCTAGCGCAGTAGACCATGATGCTGCACTGTCGGTTTGTGCTCCTATGCCTGGCTGCCATCAGACTATCGGTGCTCAATAGGATAAGGTAGCTAGGCCTAGGAATTGGAAACTGACACCTGATTTAGTTTACAAACTTTTCAATTTACAAACACCCATTGGGACTGAGGGATACGTAAAATGAACGTGTTACTGTGTATGTACTACTAAACAATTAGCTATTTATTTAATGAATGTGGAGGGTTTCTCGGGATATAAGACCTTGTATGCAATAAATCAAACCATCTAAAAGGTGTTGGGGGGGGGGGGTCCAGAATGCAGACTATAATTTTACCATTTGGTAGATTTGCAATTCCTTCTCTTAGGTTCTGCAATAGTTTGCTGGTCTCTTGATTTATATTACTTAGTTCTTCCATACTCTGTTTAGTTGCCTCCAGTTTGGGTCCAAGAGCTAATGAGAAAAAAAAATAATCAACTAATGACAGTATCAATTAATTTTAATAATTACTTCATAAAGTAATATAAAGAATACATATAAAGAATCTAATTTTAAATAGAAATCTTATAAAATAAGAAATAAATTGAGTGTGCATACCATCAACTTCCTCTTTTAGTTCCTCAGCTGATTTCTTTTGTTTGCGGCCTTTCTTCAAAATTCTTTTGGCCTTGTCACCAACTCCACTGGTCTGTAAGGAGTGAACAATTATCTATCAGTGCTTTAGAATCAGCAAGCCATTTTCTTATGTTATTATCATTTCCTTAATATTAAAAATATCAACACCATGAACTCTGCTACCTAATTTTGCCAATTACTTGGCTCACTGGCATTACTGCAATAGAGCCAATAATAACAACTCTCTCCTTGCAGTGTAAATTCTAAGGCTACAAGATATAACCGTTGTGAAATCTCAGGATTTGTTTCATTTGGAGATACAGCTGAACTTGCCTTAGTCGAATCCAAAATGGCATTGAAAAATTGTTCGACTTAGGAGATCATTAATTAATGGAAAACACAACAATTTGGCATGTAAAATAAGATTGACTTTATTCGCGTTAGGCAACGTCGACTTAGGAAAGTTTAACTGTATGTCGTAGGTGCGAACTGGGTATTAGAGATTCAATGTTGTTATTACCTGTAAAATTACTAATTCATTATATAAACAACCAATTAGTATATTGTTATTAACCAGTACCAACACAATAGGCTTTGCATTGATATGCATTATTCAAAGATCGCAAAACAGAATGTTATTTTCATTGGCAATTCCCAAATATTGTGGTCTAAAAGCACAATTTGGGCCATGCTAAGCCATAAAAACTCTCCCTGTGAACTCTACCACAGATATTTATTCCGGGACCCTACCTGGGCTCTAGTCAGCCTCATGATTCCAGACAAAAAACAAATATCTGGAGCCACCACCAAGCCTCACAGGAACGTTTTAGGAGAGGCTAATTTGTGTGAAATGATATTATACATATTGTTGGTACTCACATCCGCAAGAGCTTTGTCAGCTGCAGCTTTAGCCGTTTTGGCAGCTGTATCAGCCTTATCGATAGCATCTACAATATCTTTGTAAGCATTTGCAGCTTTTCTAGCTTGTTCTGCATATGCTGTGCCAACTTTTGAAAGCTCCACAATCTCCATGGCATAACTGGTGAGATTTTTAGCATGTTCCCCAGACTGTGTAACCAGAGGCCTCAACCTTCCTAGAGCAAGAGCAAGAGCTTCAACAACTGGGTCAAGTCGCTTGATACCTTCATCGAGACGAGTGAAATCATTTTGGAGTTTCTGATAGGCATCGTTGGCTTCCTGGAGTAACTTTCGTGCAAGGTCAAGTAACTCAAAACCACTGAGAATATTCGATGAGCCTTTGCCAAAAGAATCAATGGCAGAAGCAATTGCAGCCTATTTAAACAGACAAACAAGAATATAATAATGACAGGGCAGTGATTAATAGGCAATAATGTGATCAGTAACTAATCAGTGAATTGACAGACTGATAACTAAAAGGTCAATCTGTCATCAATTACTTAAAAGGTTAACCTGTTACTTTTAATCACAACCGTTAGTATATTGCAAAGTTAGTAACGATATTTACATCAATATTTTACATCGGAAACGATGACAATTGTCAGGAGCGGTACTGCTGCAAGTTTGCGACTTATTTCACGTCTGAGGCAATCATATGCATTATCTAACTTGTGCATATGCCGTTCTTAGGAAAACACCATTAACCAGTTGATTTTGCTGTGCCTAAACTATGTATCTTCATTGTAGATATGTTGTTTTGCCCCGTAATCTTGCCTTTGCGTTGTTCTTACAACAGAAAATCACTAGATTTTAAGTTTTATGCGTAACTATAAATGGTCCTCTCCTGAAACGACTCATATTTGAGACATTAAAATTTCACAGGTAATCAGAGTGTTTAATATGCTCACAAATGATATCCCAAAATCGACAAAAATGCGAGTTAGGTTATTTGGCCTTGGGAAGGCCGTTCTTTATAATATAAATGTAAATAACACTATGCTACCTTTACTGCTTGTGCTGCATTGGCATTGTTCAACTGATTGGCCTGCATACTAAGGTTGGTTGCCTGTCCACTAAGGTCAATAAGTTCTTGCAATTTCTTCATCTGTTCTTCAGTATTTCCAGTCACTTCTAAAATTTTATCTAGTAAACCTTGACTCAAAGTTGTCAAATTCTTAGCAGCTTCCAATACTGTAATATTAATAAAAACCATAAGCTACCGTAAACAACCAAATATGAAGCACGGTTCTCATAATCTTTTAAAGGCTTTAATGTGGCTCTTACTTGAGAGAAGCCTTTATTAAAACAAATTGGGCTTATGACAGAAAAAAAAATGGTTGTAAAGGCCTACCATAAAACCTCTAATAGAAGCCCTGGGCTTCTCTTTTTTTCTTTTTTTTTTTTGCCAAACCTTGAATTGACTTCTTTTGGCGATGGGCCTTGAGATAGATTTCTTTTTTAGATTAGGAATACATTTGCAAACTTAATTTTGATGTTAGGCCTACATTTGCAAACTTAATAGAGGGTAGGAGCCTTACCGAGATGGGCTTCTTCTCAAGATTAAGCCCATGGGTCTTCTATTCTAGGTTTTACAGTATATGCCTGGTTTCAACAAATACTACCTCAGTTACTCAGGTATAAGCACACCACATATTTTATGTATGATCATTTCTCTAAGCAAAAGCCCATGGTATAATTAGAAAATCAACAAACTTTATAAAATGTCAAACAATTTGCCTTTTGATTGGTCATCCCTGAAGTTAAAAATTAATAATAATACAGTAATAACAATAATAATACCCAAATATTTATAAGGCACCAATTCCAAATTGAATGGTCACTGGATAACATATAATAGCAAACCAGCACAAAGTGCAACCTTCTCTGCTCCCTGGGGAGTATCCCTAGTCGTTCGCTACTTCTTTAGAACAAAACTAGTACATTCAATGCCACAAAATCCTACTAGGTACCTATTTATACTCCTGAGTAAAGAGATACAACGTAGTTAAAATGCCTTGCCCAAGGACACAAGGGACTTGTTTCGAAACCCTGACCTTCTGGTTGGGAGTGCAAGCCACAATCGATAGGCCAACCGCTTGTATAAAAAAAAGTTACTTTACAAAAAAAAAAATAAGACCACCTCCAAAAATTAGTAAAATTCATGTTCAAGAGAAACTACAGTAATACTAAATTTGTGTGAACTTGATTGTTGAATAGCTTTTGATGAACAGCACAAGCCATGTTGTAATATCTCAATGTTTATTCAAAATAAGCAGCTAAGAGTTTAACAAAAAAAAAAATTCATGATTAATACAGTGCATAATAGAGAGAGGTATACACTATAGAGCTGTGATTATGAGATACATAGAAATATGAAGTTATATGGAAGAAAAACGATGTAAAGTCTGTTAACTTCATTTTTAAATATCAATGTTTGTTTTTAAATTATGTGCACAAGGGTCTCAAGTATGCGCTCCTGAGAAATTTTAAAAACAACTTGAGGAGCCTTAGAAAATTTGATTGGATTGATAGAGCTAAATCCTCTACTCTTTTTCAAAGTGTGTACTGCATTCCTTCACATGCACATGGGCCGTATTGCACATGAAACTGTCGGCTTAAAATTATTTTTTTTTTTCATTTTAGTTCTCCAACTGGAACAAGGAGAGCTGTAGGAGGAATCTTAACAATATATCGCCACACAGCGTCTACCACAAATATTTAGCTGAGTGAGCTACCCTGCTGCTCCTTGTACTTACATTCTTCTGCCGCAGCTTTCTCAGCAAGGCTTAGTTGTTCAGATTTTGAAAAATCTGTGGATTCTAAATCAGATACAATTGCTCTGGCTTCTTCAAGTCTTCTCTGAATGTCTTCAGTTTGGCCCTCAATCTGCATTGCTCTTTGGTTTTCAATCATATCTATAGTGCAGAAATAAAAGATTTTTTTTTTGATTTTTTTTTTTGTAAATTTTATGTAATTCTATTATTCAATTGTAATGTTAGGCAAAGAATAGGATTTCTGGTAGAATGTACTTCCTCAATTCTGAGGAGCATAAAATAAACATTTTTCTGCAAAATAATATAAAAATAATTTCAGGCACCTCTACATTACTAATGAGTAATAGAATACTCTATTTTGTTTGATTAACATAATTTCTGATACAGAATTATTAAAAACATGCAAGTTGCAATTTTGCATCTTTCATTGACATGATAGCAAAGCGATAAAGTAAAACAGATCTGTACAAACATTAACAGAAATGGAGCTGGAAGATAAAAAAGCATATAAAAAGACAAACAAAAACAAATAAAAACTAAGTGAAGTTCTGCTTGATAAACATCCAGTCTCTTTAGATGGAATAAAACAACTGAACTTATTGGCATGTGTTTAGATATTAACAATTATGATGCTGTCACTATTATGTCAAACATGGCTTAAATAATTCAATCATTGGCATCATTACTTCATGTCGCTACATTTTGTTATAGCGTCCAGCATCTTAATAATAAGGGTGGAGGTGTTGCTTTCGCTATAAATCTGGGCTCGCAGACAATCCCGAAACAAAGTAAAAACGTCTCATTGAAAATGCTAGAACCTGATTTTCGTCATCCTCAACTCCCATATCGCTAATTATTGTGTACTGAAACCTCAAAATCAGGAAGTATTTTCTCAATTCATGTCTGAAATTAGCGAAACAAATTGACTCCAACCGTGATCAACAAAATTTTGAAAATAAATAAATAAATTTTTTTTTTTAAATCTATATATTTTTTTTCCTCTGATATTCATGACTGTTCTTCTGACAAAAGCTAACCTTATGTGACGAATAGACTGCAACACCGTAAAAGATGTGTATGTTTGTTTTGGATGAGAATCTTTTCAACAAATTTTGTAATTTCTTTAACAATCAAATGTAAATAATTATTATTGATATGCTCACAGACCACATGTGCGTTATACCAACTGTTGATCATCACACAGGTAGTGGCTTTACACTAACCTCCCTTGAGCCCGTTTCAAATGATGAGGTAAAGAAGATTGTAAATTGTTCTCCAACAAAATTTTGCAACTTGGATCCTGTACTGACTAATATTGTGAATGATTGCATCAATGCACTTGGTCCGGTCATAACAAATATTATTAACCAGTCACTCAATTACGGAACTTGCTGGCATATGTTCAGTTTAAACGAAACCAAATCTTGAACCTGAAAGTTTCAAACCTATAATTTTTGTGGAAGCTCAATAAGCATATTGTGCCAAATTCTCGGCTAATAAAACAAAACAGGATTTATGTTTTTAAGTCAGCATATCGTGTTCATCAGTGTTCATCACTATTGAAAGTCCGAAATGACATTTTTACAAGACCCTGGTAGACTTTTCTTTTGGTTTAATTTTCAGTGTCCTGTCTATGTTTTTCAGGTTATTCATAAATTACTAATTACCCACCTTGGTTGAGGCTGAGTGAAAAAGTGATTATTGAGTTTACCTTTAAGATCTTTGAACGTGTCATTAATAAATTTTTCCAAATCCACTGCATTTTTACTTGTTTCAACAGCTTCTAGGCTAGCTTCATCAGCATCAACCATCTTTGCTAAAGACTGTTGTATCATTAAAAAATAATTAAAAAAACAAAGATAATCTTGAGTATCATATTTTCATTGAATATTGTAGCATGTCAGTGTCCATATATTGAGCACTTTTATAATTAAACATTTTTCTGTAGCTTTTAGGTAAGAAAAAAAAAACAGAAAACTTCAACTTGCATTTTTCTGAATTCCGTCAGCATACATAGTTACATTGTCCAAAAGTTGATATAGAGGAGTTAAATCAGTAGACACAAGACTTGAATCTACAACTGCATTTGCCACACCAGGCTACAGGCAAAAATAAAGAAATATAATATTTACATCTACTACATATATACTATATATCTTAACCGCCAAGCAATTACTAAACTCATATTTTTTTACTTTAACTATTTCAGAATTATCTATCCACTGGAGGATGAAGTCCTCAGAATGTTGTCTCTACAACACTAAATTTTGTACTCTTTGATTCCAGTTTACTTCTCCCCTATTACCGAATAAACACTTATTGCTTGGAACAGGCTGTATTTATACCAAATAATTGTACACATTGGCATCCTTTTGCATACAAGTCAAAGATCCTAAAAACTATCAAAACAAAAGAAAAAAACTGTACAGACTTTTCACTACTCAAATATGAGCTAGGGTTAGGAGCAGAAACACAAGATAAAAAAAAAATTAAATATATAAACATATTGTTTTTTTACAAAAATGTTAAATAAAAATATGGTAAAAAGCATAGAAAGTTAAAACAAAATATTGTATTTATTGTCAAATAGAAAAAAATAATTGTAATGATGCAAAGATATTTTAGTCATTGTTAAATGAAGATTGTAACTACACCACGAAAGAGAAAAAAAATGTTTTTTATTTTTATATTTTGTGAAACAGAATTACCATTTTTGTTCATTTGACAATCAAGTGATTACAAGTCCTGCATCGCACATATCAGACAAGACTTTTTCTTATACCTTGTTTCGCAAAATTATTTTTTTAAAGATCTTCACAGGAGGGCAAAAAAAAAAATAGAAACAAAATTTTTGTTTTCTTATTTAGCAAACGGTTTTGTCCAAAACATCCAGACGGAGAAGAAAATAAAAATAACATTTTATAGTTGAATGTAAATAGTGTGGTAATGGAATGATTGGATGCTTTACATTTATATAATTAAGAAGAAATATACATATCTTATTTTTGGACATTTTAAGGAAGCAGCGGGAGTAATAAAACTTAAGAAAAATGTATATTTTTTTTCTCAAATTTCAATTTTTTTATGGTAAGTAGCAAAAAAAAAAAAATTAATTTTTATTAAAAATCATTATTATTGGCAGGCAGCGGGTTTCGCTAAGCAAGGTATAAAAAGTCCTGTCTCAACATTTATATTTATTTGGTATGGCAAGATTTATTTAGACAAATAAATAAATTAGGTACCTTAAGTTCATTGTATAATGTATTATTTAGATTGTCAATCTTGGAAAAAGCTTCTAATCCAATTGCCACAGCACCAGGCTTAGTGTTATTCACTTTAAATAACATATCATCCAAGATATCTAATAACGTATGCACACAGCTATCACATGGCATACAACCTGCGGGTGTAAAAACGGTATCATCGTTCGTTCGTACATACGTTTATTGAGCGTTACGTACGTATTAGGTCAAAGGTTACCACAAATTTAACCCAACCTCTATTTTACGAATCCCCCGATTTACGTACGCCCTCTGGTCCCGTACCGTACGTAAAATCGAGGTTCTACTGTAGTGTGGTAATGGGATGATTGGATGCTTTACATTTATATAATTAAGAAGAAATATACATATCTTATTTTTGGACATTTTAAGGAAGCAGCGGGAGTAATAAAACTTAAGAAAAATGTTATTTTTTTTCTCAAATTTCAATTTTTTTATGGTAAGTGGCAAAAAAAAAAATTAATTTTTATTCAAAATCATTATTATTGGCGGGCAGCGGGTTTCGCTAAGCAAGGTATAAAAAGTCCTGTCTCAACATTTATATTTATTTGGTATGGCAAGATTTATTTAGACAAATAAATAAATTAGGTACCTTAAGTTCATTGTATAATGTATTATTTAGATCGTCAATCTTGGAAAAAGCTTCTAATCCAATTGCCACAGCACCAGGCTTAGTGTTATTCACTTTAAATAACATATCATCCAAGATATCTAATAACGTATGCACACAGCTATCACATGGCATACAACCTGCGGGTGTAAAAACATATCGTGGCGCACATCGGTCGCATCGTTTCCCGGTTGCCCCAGGTGGACAAATACACTTGCCAGAATCTGCCTCACACTCCAAGAGCTCTGGACAGTTGCACTCTAAAAAAAATGATTAAACATGTTATTGCTCCAAAAATGTAGTATATACAATTAAGGAACTCTTCACAAGCAAATAGAATAATGGGATGTCAACAATTTGGCAAGAAAAGTTTTAATTTGGGCTGATACTTATGGCCGTTGAAAAGGAAGTTTTAATCTTATGATCTAACCTGTTGTTTTTTGTATGTTTGCGTTCAGAGGATATATTAGGAATAAATGGTAGGGCAAAACATCATTCTCATTAAATCTGATGCAAATACCATTAAAACAGCATTGCAGCACCCGATACTACTTGTGGATGCTACTGAATCTCAGTGGTCTGTGATCTGGACATGTACTGAGCATTCAGTACAATAACACATCAGGTAGGGCAAAACATTATTCCTATTTTTAAACATCAAATTTTAGGCCACACTGCCTTATTTCTAACTGCTGTTAAAGGAAAACATAATACGGTAAATGCTCGAATCAGCGCCGCAGCACTCATAAAATGTTTGGAGCCTTCAGTGCGGCACTTATTTAAGAGCAGCACCATTTCAATAGCGGCACTTATTCGAGAGCAGCGCTTATAAAAAATAATGATGTAGCGCTTTCCATGCCTGTTCCCATGTTACCTATATCACATATTCCCGTAGTTCAGTAGGCCTATCATAGGTCCTACGTCATCGTAAATAAACGAAATGCACAATTATGCTTGTGACGTCACTGTGTTATTTATTCATTTTAATACTGTATACATTCTATTTAAAACCCTGTTTCCCAAAGTGTTTCATAAACCACAGAGTAATTGATTAAGCGCCACGGCGCCCATTTGACAGCAGCGCTTAGCTAAAAAAGTAATATTTGGTGCGGCGCTTTTTCGAAAGCAGCGCTTATTCAAGCATTTACGGTAATTACATTTTCAAAATTTCGGTTTCTTTATTTCTCATGAATATATGCAAGTGTGCAAATTAAAACAAAAATATCTACAGTATGACCCATAGGGTATCTTTAAGGTTAAGGTTAGTGTTTTAGGAGCAATTAATAATGATATTTTGTCAAGATGCCCGCATCCCTGAGCATCCCGACTTGTAAATTTTGTTGTCTTATTGGTCAGAAAATAAATCAAACCCAGATGAATTCCATCCAATTAATGTCTTCCAAATATTAATGTGTAATAAAAATTGCTTACTCATAAAGGTGAAAAAGCAAACATATTTTAAGATGTACAAGAAATATTATAAAAGTAATTTTTATCAATTAATTTGCTTATTTTGAAAACATAAAAAAGCATAAAAAATTACCTATGCTTTAGTTGATAATTTACTATAAAATAAGAAAATCAATTTTAAAATCTTACGATTATTTTGTCACTTATCAGGAGAAAAAACATTTATTTAAAATACATGAAAATATATTGAAATTACAGAAATTGAATAAAAATTTAACAGAAAATAATATTTTTGGGTATTTTTTTGTTGTTGGATAGAGTAGTTACACTAACTTTGACAGCCTGCTGGTCCATAATCCCAGTGTCCTCGTTGACAGCGATCACACTTCACACCTTCAACACCAGGCAAACATGAACACGAACCATCGATTTCATCACACTGCTCTGTCACCGAGCCAACTGCACACGAGCAAGATTCACAACCACCACATGAATTAAAGTTCCAAGTGTTGGGCTAGATTCAATATACAAATATACATATAAACAAATGCAAAAATCACACAAACTTCAATACTGAGTTTTTTGTACACATTTTTACATCAATATCTTATAGTGAATTAGAAATGTACATACTGAATAATTATTTTGTATTATATTTTGAATTGGGTTAGTACTTCTGGAGATCGCTTACCCTGCAACGGTCGCATGTTTCACCCATCACGTTTCTTTTGCAATTGCAGAAGCCATTAGTGTTGTCGCAACGTTCAGTTCCACAGCTGTTGCAGTTACAACCTTTTGAGTAAGCAAACAAGTAAATTTCTTAGATAGGGGCAACACGGCTTACTACCAAATTGACCTTTCTACAGTACCAAAGTCAACAGCTGAACATTCAAAACATATCTAGGAATACATGCTTGTCACATAAATGCATGCATGTACATTTACAGTGTCATTTTTTTTTTACCATAGCAAAAATTTCAAAAGAGCTGGGGCTTAGCAGAAAGATTCCTAAACAGTGGTATGTTACAGTGACAATTCATTCACAGTTCAACCAGTTTACACAGCATGCAACAAGAACCTTAAACACTCACTTTCGCAATCTGATATTTTGCCATATGCTCATCTAAGACTCACCCGAGTTACTGTGACAATATTTTGTTGTGAGACTGTTTTTGGAAATGCAAGTTTGATTCTATGCTAAATGACACGTCGCTCTGCCATTTAGCAGTGGATCATCATTTAGAGTATTACTCAAGTTGTCTACTTTCCAACATATTCACTCAAATCATTTTTCTAAAGATCAGTACGACGATACACTGCACATTTGTTTGTTTTGCCACTGTCGCATTATCACTGTCGTGCTCTGTGTAATATACCTTAGCATGCAATGTACAACATCACAAGGTTCAAACTGTACAAATGGCCCAATTCATAATAACCACTGGACAAGACATTAGTCAAGGGTTTGACTGTTGGGGTATTAAACTGGTCTTAATTTATGAGAACATTCATCATGGCTATTTGAAAGATTTGCCTCTTATTTTCTCCTTCAGTGGAATTAGGCCTGCTGTGTAAAATAGAATAAAATTAATAAAATACTAACGTGAACAGTTTTTATTTCTTACGGCATCTCCATAGAAGCCATTAGCACATTCATTACAGCTATATCCAGCGAATCCTTCTAAGCAGAGGAGGCATGCACCGCTTGAACCGTCACAAATGTTGCCTACAGCATTTGGGTCTAAGTTGCCATTGCAAAAACATGGTTCACAATATCCACCAATCTGATCAGGATTACCATAATAACCATTTTCACACCTGTAGAAATTTTTTTGGAATATAGTAATACAAATGAAGATTTTTTTTTTTTTTAATTCTTTCTTACTCTGTAGGCACTTGGATCAGTACCACTTTTAAAATGATATCAGTAGCATAAACACAAAACATTACATTAAGATAAAAATATACTATACTAATTATTGTAAGAAGCTATAAATACAGCGCGATGTTTTGGCTACGATATTGATAACAGTCCTATATATATGTATATATGATTATCACCTACGATGTGGCTTTTTTTACCCTATGATCGAATGAGATTCCTTAGCACAAATGGTCATGATTGGTAGAATTACACAGTATGATGAAAATCTGACCAATGAAGAACACGGTTTCATATGATAATCTATCCTATGTTTAATACATACATTTCACAAATTTCCCCAATTACATTTCCAAAAAATGTTTATATATTAAATTTCCCAACCTTTCCTCTCAATATACTGTACCAAAATTAGTCAAATATCATTACAGTCAAATGTCATTACAAATGAAGTCTCTGATAGCAAATGTTTTTTGTCCTCAATGGCACGAGTGATGTAATAGCATAAAAATGGTTAGTATTGGCCCTGAACATCTTGTAAGAGATCATGGGGCTTTACAAATGGGAACTGCTCTTATGTATATTAGAAATAAAAAACGATATCTGAATTATCAACAATTATTTCAACCACAGTTTTTGAACAATAGGTACTCACACACTGCAATTTTCAGTCTTGTACCCAAGTAAACAATCACAGTTGAAATTTTGGCTTAAGTGGTCTGGAGGCTGACATGTTGAGGCAAACCTAAAAAAAGAAAGTATTAAATATAGTTCTCAGTGACGAATACATACTCTTTTTTTAAATATCAGCTGTATAATTCCATTAATTTATATCAGAAACAGGGAATGGGTCTTGGTGTTTTTCATGTTTTATGTGAAATAATAAACATGAATATGAACTTATACACAAAAATAATGACAAACGACTTACGTGCTTCCAACAACAGCAAATGGACATGGACATATTTGACAGTCAAAAGCAGTTCCCCGTCTCGCATCACCATAGAAACCAGTACTGCAGCTTTCACAATTCAAACCTTCAGTATTGTGGTCACAGAACTGAAAAGTATGAAAGTCTCATGATTGGAAATATCTACCACAGGCAATAGATGCCTCAAAAACTTATACCACTGTAGCAAAGGTGTTGTGTTCCAAAATGTATTATTATGTATATACAAAAAATATCTACAGTAAAATATAAAATGCAACATACCAAGCAGCGGCCAGTGTTGGGATCACAAGAGTCGGCATGATTATGACACTCGCATGGCACACAGATACCCAAATATGATCCACTCCTTCGATAGTACCCTTCAGCACAGTCCTATACAGAGTATATGTGTGTAATGAATATGACTACTCATAAAACCTGTCAAGTTACATAATGAATGTGGCTTGCTCGCCATACTATGCTACACTACAAAAAAAAATAGGCTCATCCATGCTTTCTGTGTTAGCAATTCACTTGAATGATTGCTGACTTTTTATTCTTTCTAGGACAGGTCTCATCTAGCATGGCATCACATTTCGTAAAAATTCTTTTCATTTTTATCTTTAGCTAATGACCCATCCAATCATTCCTCCAACGGATTTACTCTTGCAAGGTCAATTGCCAGAAGATAGCCAAGTGTCTAATGACCCTGGAAGGGGCGGCAGACACGAAAAAGCTATCAACATTTTGCTTGATGCGTTCGAAAGCTTATAGTTCATTAACTGTAGTCTTCAAAGCTTCAAACATATTCTGATTTAAAGGTTGTGATTTATTGTTCCTTTGAAATTTCAAAAAAATCACTTTCGAAATTAAATTGGCAAACTTGGAATATCATAAAATTTATTCACTTTGGTATTAAATGCCAAAGATACAAATTCCTTTAATAGAGTTACGGACCAATTTACTTTAAAAAAAAATTACAAACACTTCTGTGTGATTCCTCTTTAATCTGCCATTGGCCAATTCAAAGTTTTATTAGCCTTCAATTTGTGTTTCAAAGGGATAATATATCTTCAATATCAGCAGTAATATTATGAACAAGAAATTTGGGATTTGTTTACAGAGCAGTCAATTAATAAGTCATTAATTATTACACTAAATTACATCATACCTGACAAGATAAGCCTTCATACCCAGCAGGGCATCTGCAGGATTCCACACCAACCTCTCGTACACCGGACAAATCTTTGACAGCAGTGTCCATTGAAACGTCACTCAAACTGCAACAAATCAACACTCATTTTTAAATTGAATTAAAAATCATACTTCTGCAAGTATCTGTACTACATATAAATTAGTTGTGATGGATCTACAAGAAATATTTATGCAATAACTTGTTTCAAAAAAACATATATATTTAATTGATGATTTTTAATACTACCTTGCATCTATTACTTTCTGGTAATACTGTGCCTGAATTTGAAGGGAACTTAAATCAGCCAAAACCAACATCAATGTTTGCCGTGACACAGGTGCACCACTAAATGTATCTTGGAAACTTGTCTAAAAGAAAACACATATAGACATCAATTTCGTTTCATTTCTTTAGCCAAGGATATGCCAATAAGTGAACTTAATCACTGTCCTACGTGGCATATCCAATAAAGAACAGGGGACTTAATGAATCAGTACACCAGAGTAACACCCCCCCCCCACCTCCAACTCTTCTCGAAGGATGCACTGGTTTCTTTAAAGTGCACACGAGCCAAATGCGTACACTGGGCCTAAGGTTTAAATTCCTTATTCGAGAAGACTTGTTCCACCACTGGAACCATTGGTAAGTGAGCCGTTCAAACCAGCACCGATATTAGAGCTGAAGGTTACAGTGCCCCTGTCTTAACCACTCGGCCAATCAACTTGCCTAATCAACTAACACTTTGTTCAAAAAAGGATACGACTATGTACAAAACCCCTACGCAGACACACTGTTTCTCACTGGCTGAAACATTCACACATAGTGTAGCTTAGGTTAAGGTGGAAAGATAACTTTTTGTTGAAGGACTATAAATGAAAATAGTAATGTACAGAATCCATCACAATATTTATAATCAATTTGTGTACCCATATGTTGAATACTGTATTTAGACAAGTTGTTTGATTAAAAGAAAATAAAAAAGCCAGTTACCTCCAGTAAATCAATTTCAACTAGTTCTCCAGTTTCAACAGGTCTATTTAGGTTACTGTACATCAAGTTTTGTCCATTCCCCTACAAAAAGAAATTGCATGTGCATTTAACTTTAAATATGTCATTTAATGCTAGAAAAAAATCAGGAAATACAAACATCATTTGTCAAAGCATGTAAAATACTTAAATATCTATTTTTCATTAATTCAACACTATATATGAGCAACTTACAGATAAGATGACATCTGGACGAATCAAAGGCAGATTTTGCTGTGAAGAATCTGCAGCATCACCTCTTGCTAACCTTATGTTATTTTCCACTCTATAACGTAGTTTTCCTCCATAGGAGCCAATCTGTAGCAAAGTGTAAACAAACTTAAACAATTATATCATCATTTGGAACATTTTTTTATATTGGAGCCTGATACAAAAGCTTGGTATAGGAGATTCCACCTGCAATCTGTATATACTGTCGCAAGGCCAGTTGAGTCGAAAAATAGAGCCCTTTACTTTGCAAAGGTTGACAACTGGCAAGTTTGAAAGGACAGACCTTAAGCTAGGCCCCAAATCAACTCAGTCCTCCTCTTTGTTATTTTTGTGTAAAAAATAATATAAAGGAATCTATATTACTAATTAATCTTGTCTACATGCCTGCTGTACATCAAATTAGGTCAACCACACAGCCTCATTCAGTTAACATGACACATATCATTAATTGTGCAGAGTTTAAATGGAATTCCCTTTTTATCTGGTTATTGGAGCTCAATGACTTTTTTTTTTAATCCTGCAATTTCATAGTCTTTCACCTAAAAAGACTTTAAATAGACTGTGCAGAAATACAAAAAAAAATTGTCATTGTTGATTTTTATTTCCATGCAATTTTTTATACAAAATATTCTCATATATGTAACACATTTTCTAGACAAGAATGAACAATAATCTGCTCAAACTCTTACTGCTGTACCACCCAGTGCCCCAAAATGTATTTGGCTTCGCTCGCACTTCCACAGCAAAATTCTGCATATGCACCAATGCAAGATACAAGCAGATTACTAACTCTTCAGTGGACATTCTAAAATGGCAGTCCAGCAGAAATCAATGAATTTGAGATTTAAGGAGAGTGGCTAATCTCTGCTAAACAGTTCTTCATTAGATAGTTGGTCCGGAGTAGAGCGTTTGCCTAAATTTCCCCTGAACTAACAACATTATTATCACATACACACAGACATATTTCGAACCACAAAATATTATTACTATTATTATTGAATATTATTGTATTCAGGATTTTACAAAACTCAAAATTTTCTATGCAAATAGTTTGATTTTTTTTTTAAATAATTTGAGTGCTTATTGTACTGTCTATTATTTATGGTCTATCATCTTTTTGAGGAGACAAAAATCGAAAAGCCCTTTCAATAAAAATTTGTTGTTGGCATATGTGCTGTTGGTTGAGATCCCTACACAGATATCTTACCTTATCTCCCAAGTACTCTGCAGGAGCTACCCAATAAATTGTAGCTTGAGCATTGTCTCCAGTTCCGTCTATGTAGACATTTATGCGATTACCAGCTGTACGAATTTGAGGGTCCCTCAAATTGGTCACATTCCAACCGTCCATGGTATTTACCTAAGACATTAGAAATATATACCATAAAATATAGCATAAGCTTCTTTCTGAGATAGTACAGTACATACACTACATGCATTTCAAAAAATAAAATAAATTCAAAACAAGCTTGGTTTATATAGTAGCTTAGGCAATTTAATGCCAGTTAAATAAACTCCATGATACAGATTGATGTTACAGTGGCCTTATTTACTGTTTTATAGTACAAATCAAAGATCTTATAAACACAAGATAGCGTTCTCCGTGATTTACACGTAAAAAATAGAAACGTCGGTCAAAGTTCAAAAGTTTCCAATTTAGCAAGAGGGCACCATTCATGCGCTATTATACCAATGAGAAAAAGCAATCAGTTTTGGAAGAGGGCGTCTTATTTGTTGCTATGGATCTGAGATTTTCCTGTTCTGCTGTTCACAAGATTGATACCCAAGGTAAAGTCGCGCGGTGTACGGTATGGTCAGAGCGGTCAAGGGTCAAAAGTTTCCAATTTAGCAAGAGGGCGCCATTCATGCCTTATTACAGAATCTACACGCGTAAATCGCGGAGAACGCTATCTTGTGTTTATAAGATCTTTGGTACAAATGCACAAAATTTACAGCATTCATTTCTTTAAAAAAAGCCCCCGTCTTTACTTTGCAAAGGTAGCCTCAAAAAGAAGCCCATCCAAAGTTTCCCAAAAAAAAAAAAAAAAAGAAGCCCATGGCTTCAATTCGAGGTTTTACAGTATTACAACAGTGTGCAATGCAATGAAGTTTTATTATACTTACTTGGCCTCTATTAACAGTTGCAATTTGACACTCAGTTGTAATACCAAAACAGAAACAGGAAGTACAACCCCTCGGGTTTCGCTCTTCCAGAGAAAATGTACCTTGCTTACATTCACTGCAAAAATCTCCTTCAACATTTTCCTGTGTTCACAAGAAAGAATTTCATTAGTACAAACTATACAGCGATTTATCAAATGCATATTGTAGAAAATTACAAAAAAACTAATATCTGGCTCAATAACATTTACCGTATAACAGAGAGGTTTACTGATTAAACTCGGATAAGAAAGTATAATACATACTCCAAGTATTGAAATACACACCATCATGTTGGGATTCAATATTTTAACATTAATTATGTCATCATCAGGAATGGTGACATAATTAATGCCGAAAAATTTGAATCCAAAAACGACTAGTGTGAAAATATATACCTTCTTTACTGTATAAGATGTGGTAGAACTCACCTTGCACAGGCATTCAGCATTAGTTTGATTGCAAATGCCGTCCTGTGTGCCAAAAATATTACATCTACAATCTTTACAAAATGGATAGGAATGGTAGCCAGGATTGCAAGAGCTGCATTGACGATCTGCTACATTCTGTTTGCAATTGCACTGTCCTGTGGTGTCATCACAACTCAGATCATTGTTTAAAGTGCCTCTTTCATCACAGTCACATGCCTAAAATTATCATACAAAGGGATATAAATATTCATTCATATTTAATGAAAATATCATAAATAGTCAAATGGTGCTGCAACCTACAACCATAATATCGGCGCTGGCTCTAATGGCATGCTTGCCTATGGTTCTGGTGGTAGAACAAATCATCGCGGATAAGGACTGTAAACAGTAGGCCCAGTGAAAATAGTTCATGTTCACTATATAGAACCTAGTATACCATTTGAGGTGAGTTGGTGGGGGTGGGGGGTGTACTGGTCCAGGCAGGCCCTGTTGTGAACGATGATAGTGCCTGGTAAGGTACAAACACGAAGGGACGAGTTTCCAGTCCACATATCAAGCGCCCTGGGCATCTTATTTGATGGATACGGCGCTATATAAAACTACACTATTATTATTATTTATTATAGTAGGAACAATCCACAAATGTGATATCTAACACACGTAAAATACTAGACAGAACTTAAAAACTAGAGAACTAGAATGATTGTGGCTTGATTTAAACAGTTTATACATGCAGCGCTGTACTCTGCAGACGTCTACATTTGATTGTAACCTCAAATAAGTTGAGGATGGCGAAATGAAGACTTACAACACATCCTGCAATAGGGTCATATCCATAATGGTTTTCCAGACATTGATCACAGAATTCTCCAGCCACATTTGGTGGACATGTACACTGGCCATTCTCTTCATTACAAACTCCTGACAAGCAACGGCATTCTACAATAATAAACAGTCAAAAACATCATAACTTAAGCAATTCCTACATAGCTACAGCATTACATTAATTGTTACAAAGACTATATTCATACATCTTAAGGCCAACTCAGACAGCGTCGGCCGACGATTTGTTGTCGCGTCGGGTCTGTGTGAGTTGAACGCAGACGCGATGGTGTGCGTCGGGGGCAGTCCGTAGTAGAATATTAAACGTGTTTAATATTTCCAAGATATTTCTCACGACGGCTTAAGACTGTCCCCGACGATAAATCGGGTCGGGCTGCGTCGGCCGACGCTGTCTGAGTTGGCCTTAAGTAGCCAAAAATAATTGACTCAAATCATTTTGTCTCAAATTGTTTAGAACATGTTTCTTGAAATATATTTAAAAACAGGACAAAAAAATACTCTACCTGCACATAAAGGAAAACCATAAAACCCAATCAAACATCGGTCACACTGACGACCAGTAACATGTTCTCGGCAAGGACACTGCCCACCAAGCTCCTCGCAATAGTAGTTTAATGATCCATCGATGTTGCAGTCACACGATAAAGCGCCATTATTGTAAGCTGTTGTCAGTGAAAAGACTGAATCTCGGCAGAATCCAGACGCTGATTGGCTGAGAAAAAACAAAAATTAAAGTCATGAATGTCCACTGAACTGCATTTTTGCACACCAATACAGTACAGGCCTCAGTTACGTACAGTATGGTTTTATAACTCGGCTAAAATAATAGATTCATGTCATTTGATATATTATTTTTTTAAAATCTAAATTTTGTGAATGGAACAGTCCGGCATCATTTTAACTAATGAAAAGATTGTATTAGGTTGAGGCATGTAATGGAGTGAAACACATGGAATATAAAATACACGGATGGGACTAAATATGCATGGTGGAACTAAATTCCAGGATGAGCGACGAAATAGTATAAATCACCAATGTCACGTAATACAAAATCCTAAAATCAAATGACAAGCATCTATGTGCGTTATAACATACATTAAAGCAATTAGGTTAAACTAGCTGACTATAAACTTCTACATTCCACTCAACTAGACTTTGCCTCCAGCTGTATAATCATGCTATCTGGATCATAGCAAGTGTGCCCTCTATAATTTTTCTTGTGTTGTTAAGGCCAGCCTATTTAGTAGGATTCTTTTTGAAAACTCTTATACAGTAAACAGCAAAAAAAAACCTGAAATTGGTCAAAATACTTAATCGCAGGGCATTTTGGCCGCTAGCTCAAAATGTCGACAAATCTAGGTTTTGCCCCAGCCAGTCATATCTTTAGCAGGATTTCCATCCTTAAATTATTAAAATTGCTAACATGTCTCACCTTATGTAGAAGTCCTGACTACCACACTCTCTGATAAAGTCACCAGTTCGATCTTGAGCATTTTCTTTTAGAATACTGTCACTATATTTGTCCTCTGGAATTGCGAGAATGTAATCCTACAATAAAAATAAATTTCAAATTGCATGATCATTTAGCATCTGATTTAAACATGTGGAATTCCTCAAGGATCCCTTTTGGGACCTACATTATTTTTGTA